AGTAGAGAGGACCAGGAGGGGAGGGCACCAGGCAAGGGCCACACATTAAGGAGGACCACACAGTGAAGAAGACGTGCTAACTGCCCACACAGGGGGAACCACTCAGTGAGCAGAAGACTGTGGAGAGCGTCCCATAGAAAGATCCCACAGAGGGCGAAGCCCAGCCCTCTGTTTTGTTCTTATTTTAGACTCTGGCCCTGGAGTTCCCTCCAGCCCAGCCGTTTTTCTTCCTTCATCTTATAAAGGTCTGAGACCCCTGGGTTAGGTCATGTGTGGACCTGACCCCAGGTATCCTGCCACCACAAATTGCGTTGGGACATGCCCTCTCTCGACACCTCCTCTTTGTGACAAGAAAGGCACGTGGCTAAACAGAAACAGCTCGGGAAGTCAGTTTAAGGAGGATATGTACATATTTATTTCACAGCCACAAGTGCATACACAACAAAGCAGCACTTGGGTCTAGGTCTGCAGACCTAGGGTGTGCACACGTGTCTATGAGGAAGCCTGTTTCTCAGAGCTCAAAGCCAATGGGGGCGGGGTACACTACAAATTCCCACAGAATGTGGGTGGCAGTGGCCTGGTCTTGTGTTGTGTCTCCAGCATCCTTCACCTGATGGATCACTTCACCTGTGAACAACAAAGACCATGTGAGATCTTCTGCCATCACTGGAACCACAGTTAACGACACTGAACCCAGCAGGTTGCAAGAGACAGGTGCCTATAGCCAACTATCCATCTGACCCCGACACTAAGCGTGCCTAGGTCTCCTCCCAGCTGCCTCTGGGCCCTTGCTCCTGCCCAGTGACACCTTCCTCCCACACCACATGATCTTGACCCTCTAGGGTCTTGGGGACTCAGTGTCCCTGCCTCTCCAAGGTTCTAGTCAAGTCGTGCATCCATGGGCTCACTCTTGCCTGCTCTCCCATGGTGCCCACCTTTACCTCCTCTGCTGGGACCCCATCCCACTAGGCCCTCACTGGGCTACCTTGAACAGGGTGACCGTGGTGCTGTAGAAGAGGCTCAGAAGGAAGAGGACGATGAAGGTGGAGGCCATGGCCCACAGGTTCTCGAAGCCCTCCTCCTCAGCATTCACTTCCCCCACTGCAAGGACAACAGGACACGGGGCATGGTCAGCTCTGAGTGTAGCCAGGGTGGGGTCAGCGTTAGTATCCCAGCAGAGCCTGTCCCAGGGGGAGGAGGACTGGAGTGCAGAGAGGGTTAGAAACTCAAGGTTCAGGGCAAGGAGCTGTGATGAGGGAACTGAGACCACATAACCCCCCCTCCCAGCTTTCCCCAGGGTTGCACCCATGATAGGGTGGCGGCAGCAGAAGCAAGAGGACAGTGGGTAGACAGAGTGCTGGGCAGAGAGAGGTGCGTGATACTAGCAAGGAACTGTGTGTGTATAGGGAGCATACTCCCCAGGCTCCTGCTGCACCTGCTCTGCCTGCCATTTGAGGTGAACACCTCCCGATCTTTCTGGAAGAGTCTCTGGCCAGGCTTGACCTGTGATCACCTTGGCACCTGATGGGTAGATGTAGGTGGGTTCAGGGTGAACAGCTGACCCTGGTCAAAGTAAATGGACTGCAGCCATCCTAGGGGTCTAAAATGCCAAAGAGGGCCAGTAAAACAAGGGGCTGGGCCTCAGTTGAGGCCCCCTGATGTGTCCTGGGCCCTTTGGGGAAGCACAGTCAGGGAGGCTGGTATAGAAGGGCTCTGCTCAGCCACTGTTGGGTGGGTGAGTGGGGATGTCAGCGGAGAGTGGTTGCTTCTGGAACCCCATTAGGCATCCTCTCTGTCCTCATGTCCATCTCCCCTATGCAGTGGGAGCACATC